TATATTTATTTATATATAAAAGGCAGGGGAGTAAAATCCTTCTTTTATAGAATGTGTTCAGGTGTGAAGCTGCCAGTTGCATCATATTTCATGGCCAAACATCCAGTCTGTTTTCTCAGCTTCCCTGCAGGTCGCTCAGCGCTGACATGGTTCCAGGATCTGGTATAGATACCAATCCGGGCCGTTAAAACCTGTATCATTTATATAAGTTACTGTCATTGTGTTAAAAAGGATCTTCTAACAATTTCCTGTCTGATTTTAATTAGATAAATCTGATTTAGCTTCATACATCAATTATACAAGAAACACTGAATGCCAGGGATGTATGAGGACATGATATATAATATAATCTGGTAAATTAGCCGGCTGTCGGCTGCAACGTGTGTCGCTGATAAGAAAGAGTCACAATTCTGATCAGAACTGCAGGTTTAGGGAAAATAATCGTTAGATATTTCAAAACTCTGTACATTATTTCCAAAGTTGATCAAACTAAATCAAATTTGTGCTGGAGAAAGTGCGGACTAGTTGGAGATCAGACTCGTGTCTTTTGGGATTGCCCAACGATTAAGAAATTCTGGGAGGGAATTAGAGAGGAAATTTCAAATATCTTGCATGCTGATATTGATTGGAACCCGCGGATCTTCGTTCTGGGAATTCCACCAAATAATTGAAGTAAAGAAGAACAAAACTTATTTGTTGTCCTTGTTCTCGTAGCCAAAAAATTCATAACAATAAATTGGTATAAACCTTCACCCCCTACTGTAAATCAATGGAAAGAGAAACTAGTGAACGTTTATACGATGGAGAAAATAAAAGCAAAATTAAACTTGCCCGCTGGTTTATTTGAGAAAAGATGGAACCTTTGAAGACATATTTCCAATTAATATGGTAGTAAGATAAATGTAAACACAGGTTCAGATTTTATATGCATACTTAACATATATCTCTGTTATGAGAAAAATAAAAGTCACTCGAGAAAGATTTTTCCTTTATCTCATCCCCCAAGTAAAAAAATAAATAAATAAAAATAATAATAAATAAAAACAATAAATTAAAATCATGGATTTTCAGCTCGCCGACTTGTTTGGTTGTTGTTACTCAATTGTTTGTATGGTTATATTGGAAGTTGTTGTTTCTGGCTTATTGTATTAATCATTGATTTTGAATATTAATCTGATAAAATAAAGTCTTTGTTCAAAAAATAAAAAAAGACGGAGACTTTAGAGGAGAAAACTTATGCAAGCAGAAAAACACCTGTGGCAAAGAGTGAACTAATTAACATAGGGCTGACGGAGAAATATAAGGGTAATGAACTATAAATTAATCAATAAACCAGGGATATAAATGATTAAAACAACTAAAAACACTTAGAAATTGGTAGAGAAATTAACTATAAAGCTGGAAAAGATAAACGGGCCAAACTAATATGAAAAACTACCGACAGGCTTAAGAAAAAATAGAAAATCTTGTAGTAAAAAAACAAACTGAAATACAAGAAAAATAATCCTAAGACTCAAAAAAAACTCCCAACGTGACATAAAGCAGCGGTCGGCTACCCTCCCAACCCCCCCCGGCAGCTCAATCCGTGTTTGGTTTGTTCTTTGTTTTGTTTTTTCGTTTCAAAACAAAAACAAAGAAAACAAGCATGTGTTTTTTTGTTTTTACGTTTTTAAAACGAAATTAGAAAAACTGCGTTTGCATAAATGAAAAAAGGAACGTTTTGGGATTTTTTTAACTGCAATGGTTAAACCAAAGACAAACTTTTATTTTGTTGTTAATTCAACGGACCTTATGGCAGAACCTGAACTCCCAACACAGAACTTTTTTAGTTACCAGTAGGTGGCGGTAATGTACGCCTTCAATTTCTTGCCAACTGCCATTACAATCCACAAGAAGAACTTTTTCAGGTAGCGCTACCAAAATGGAAACGTTTGTGTTATTTAAAGGGTATCGGCGCAATGTGGAGCTCCATGGCGGCTCAAAGCATCACTGATCTCAGAGTGTTTTTCTTCTCTCAAAAAGTTCGATAATCAACGCAGAAAACGGTTAAAGTGCAGCCATTGCCTTTTGTTTAGAAATGGTTTGTTTTTATGCCGTCTTCGTTTGCTGTAAGTGATTTTTCTTTGGCGACTTACTTCATTTCCGGTGCCGCTACATATTAAAACAACAACCGTATTTTATTTTCATTTAGATGGCAAAACGAAACTAAAACGCTGTTGATTTTCTATTAATTCAATTTTTAATTTTTCCGATTTAGGTTTTAAAAAACGGAAAAACAGAAAAACCACATGCTTTTTTAGTTTTTCGTTTTTGTTTTGAAACGCAAAAAAACAAAGAACGAACCATACAATGATTCAGCTTCCTGGAGCTTTTCAAAAATGAAAAATACATTTTTTTTTGGTTTGTTTATTTTAATACGGTGATTAGGAGGTCAAACAAACATTCATTATATTTTCCAATACTGTTAACATTTGTATATTAAATCAATTTAAACAATAAATGTAATGTGCGTCACAGCCATAGAGATCAGTTGTAGCCCGCAGCATGATTCAGCGCGGCGCCGGGAACGCGGTCGATGCAGATAAAGTGGCGGGTGTGTCTCTGAACATGGATCCCAAAGGGAAAAAAGGAAGATAGCTGATGATAGGATGGAGAGAATCGTTTGCTTTCATTATCGATGAGGACAGACTGCCTGCATGGTTGCTTTGGAATGAGAAGCTGTCAGGTAATAAAAAGAGTGATTAGGAAAAGCATTTCCAGGAAAGACATAAAACTAAACTGATCACCAAGCTGGGAGGGAGATAAGAAGACTGATTGCAGAACTTCTGGATAAAATAGAGGAGAGCAAAGATAGATTTAAGAAGTAGATTGCAGCTCAAAACTCCACTGCTGCTAGTTTGGGATTTCAGGGTTAGAGAGCTCTGCTCTGATGATGTCACTTCCTGCTTAGGTCCTCATGATTCCATCAGCTCCTCCCAACAGAAAACCTAAAAAAATCCCTCACCTCATGCTACTATGTGACATTTTCTAAAGGATAAACATTTAATCATGAATGATTATTATATATTTAATCCCACGTAGTCCTTTCCTATAGTGGGACACTTAGAACCAGTGTTGCCATATCAGGCTATAGAAGACATGTCGTTTTTGCAGCTCCACACATTTTTGTTTTTTTGGTCCAATATGGCTCTTTGAGCAGTTTGGGTTTCCGACCCCAGACAGGAAGAGATTCACGTTGAACAGATGATCCAGAAATGGTTGAAAAAGAACAAAATACCTGCTGAGTTTATCCTCCAAACTAAAGCACCACTGATTTTCTCCAAGTTAAATACCAGAATGAGCCACATTTACGATCAAGTAAAATGATACGACTGGCATAAAATCAAATACAAACAGCATAAAAATAAAGCAACAAGCCGGTCCCATCTAGGCGTAATCGGAGACAATGACACATGAAGTGTGCTCCTGATGTCCAGTCTGCTCTGTAGCTTTGTTTTGGTCGCTGTAACCGCAGAAAATCCCGCTTCACAAAGATAGGATGTTATAGATAGGATGAGTCTTGAACTGAATTAACCTGTGTCAAGAGGCACAGATGCACCGACTGATGCAATTGGGAGAGAATACCGCAATTTTTAATATTTTTCAAAATAAAACATCACTCAGACTCCGATAAATTATATATATATACTTTTTTCTGTGCGGTCCGGTACCGGTCCACGGCCCGGTGGTTGGGGACTGCTGATTTAGAGGAGCTGGGGTGGAGAAACGAAGAGGAAGAGTCGAGTGCTGCAGTTACTTTTCTGTTCTATTCTATACTGCATCAGGACAAACGTTAGAACGATCCGGCCGCGTTTAAAGGAGCTTCCTGAAAGACCTGCTGTTAAAGACGGCTGAAATGTTTCTCAGAGCTCTTAGGGATGAAGAAGATTGTTTCAGGGGTTCTAGTTCTTTCCCACTCTGTCTTTCTCACTGTTAAAGTGAGGCGGGTGGATCTTTGTGACCTCCTGGATGAGTCATGGATGGTCTAGTTTAGACCAGGGAAGTTCTTCCTCTGTTCCAGGGATTCTCCATCAGTAGATTCCTGTTCTGAATGTATTTCCCTGGAGTCCTGAACCTCAGAGCTCACCTTTCTACAAACACCTGCTTTCTTTTTTACTCCTTTTGGTCCAACTTGGTTTATTTCCTGGTTTCTGTTTCAGAGCAACCTCAGTGGATTCCAGCCTTGTCCGTGTTCATCTGCATGTTGGTGATCCTGGTTCTGATCCTGCTAACCGTCCTGAAATGGAAAAGGATCTCCCAGTTCCTCTGGCCGAAGGTTTCCCTGCCGCAGCACTTAAAAGAGGTGGGTGTGTTTGTCAGGATGGTTTGGTGGATTAACCAGCGATAATCCAACATCCTCACGCTGCTTTCTGCCGCTACAGTCTCTGCTGGCGACGTCCAATTCCTCGGTTTCTTTGGCCGTTCAGCCGACCGAGACGATCGACCCGGTGAGCGTGGTCATGCTTGAGGAAGGCAGCCCTCTGGTGTTAACAAAGACCGGCCAACAGCCGAACGGCGCCGTGGAGACGGGAAGATAACAGAGAGACTGAAAGGAAAGGAACGACGTAGCCTTTCTACATCCTGCGTGCTTTTCCTTCAGAGACTTAACGAGACGAGCGATTTCCATTCAGACGCCACTTCCTGAATAATGTGAAGCGATGGAAGGCAGAGGCACGCTGGATGCAAACCCAAACATAAAGAGCTGTACGGAACCATCCCATCTGTTTCTATGGACATGAACGTTTTTATACGCAGAGAAAAATAAAATAATTAATATTTGACTTTCTGCACTTTAACCAGTCAGGAAATGTTAAAAATGGAACCTTTACTGGTTGGTCCATCTCTTTATTTAACAAGAAAATTGGTTTTCTTTGTGTTTTAACCTTTTTTTATGTGTCAAACTAATAAAGTTCCTGATTTATGAAACAGCTGTTTGTTTTATTTTTGTTTGCTCAGTTGTCCTTTTTATTACCTGATTGACGTCAGAGCAGAACTAAACGCCCTTCAGGTGAACTCTGGACCCGGCTTTAAAAAAAGAAAGACGTCCTGCAGACAATGTTAAGGTTTTATCAGACATTTGGACTGTTTGAAATTCTTCAACCGTTTCTCCTCTCATCCATACGGCCGTCAGCCTGGATGGAAGCAGCAGGTTTGTTAGCTGCGCTCCAAACGCTCCCAGCTAAGATTAAACCACCAGACAGTTCACCTTTATCAATATAGCAGCTCCTGGAAAACACAACATGCTTAAACTAACAATATAAACACAATTTAAATAATATCTGAGCTAAAGTAGATTTAACCCTTTACAGGGCATTCAGTGAAATACTTTGAAAATTTAAATTTCAAGTCTTTTTGTAATCCAGGATAAGACCTTATTATGTTTCTAACAGTCGAAATATATGAATATTTTAATGGCAAAAATTTATATCAATGACACAAGAAACGAGAAACAACAACTTGCCAGAATATATTAAGAAAAATAACAAAAGTGCTTCAAAGAAATAATGAAAAACACTTTTTTTTGGTGCAACATATAATTACGGAAGCCGAGAGCGGCCATACTTGCCTTTTTTTTTTTCCTTTGCTTTCTCGTGATAATGAGATAATGATCTCATTATCACGAGAAAACAGTTATTGATTACTTGATATAACGAGATGATTAACCGGTCTGAGTAATTAACGAGGCGGGCCAACAGCCCTGGATTTCCAGTCCATCCATGCCTGCGGTAACCATAGTGCGCAGTCGGGGTACCGCTTGTGTGCAAATAATACGTTTTTCAGTTTCCTATTTCTTTTCATTGATTTTCAGGCTATGGTGGATAATTGGATTGCGTGTGTTACAGTAGATACAACTCTACTTTTTTAATGAAAAACTTTAATCTGAACTCATTTTGGGGGTTAATGCATCTACCTGTTACAGACGTAACGCTAGGCGCTAAGGCGCCGGAGGCATAGGTCTAATTGCTTATGAATCAGAAGTGGAAGCAAATCATCAAACTACCAACGTCTTCTCGTTACCTAAAAGTTAAACACAGAATTTATTTTAAAAATTTCACTTTGGCTGCCATGACTTATACTTATAAATCCAATCATCGACGAGAAAAAGGCTTTTGTTATCTTAAGATAATGAGAAAATGTACTCGTTTTCTCACGAAAAACCACAGTGGAAAAAGTATCTGGGAACACGACCCCTATCGGCTATATAATGCTGATACTGGCACTTACATTTTTTAGTTTATAAACCTAAATTTAATTGTTAACTAGGCTTAATAACTTTTTATCTTTACTTTTTAACTTTTCAATCAGCTTTTTACCTTTTTTTCTTGACTTTTTCTTCCAACTTAATTTCCAGTAGGTAAAAATATATCATTCAAGGGCTCATTTAATTGGTCAAATGCCTAAATCAGATGTTCAGCCAAGTAGCAGCATCTTTGCTGAATGGCTGGATATAGATCTTGTGCTTCTAGACCTCACTGAGGGACCAGGGCGACTCCATCTTTAAGGGGTTTGCAAATGATCAAAAACTTTCCCTATAAAGGGTTAAAATGATTAAAAGTTGCTCTGGACCTTCTGCTATGGATCTTAATTGCTGCTAAAATATTTCAGAATGACGTATTAGTTTGAATGCAGTATAATAGATTCCAGTTTTAGAAGTGATTTTCAACAATAATAAAATTGAATTTCGATGACAGAATAGGATCAAAAAGTAACTATGATTTTAAGATCTATTATATTTTTCCATCATTGGCTCACAGACTGTGTGCTTTGCTGTACATAATTATTCACAGATTTAAACATTCAGAAAATCCATATTTCCTTTTTATGTTCTTTATTTATAAAAACACAAATTAAATGTTGGCTTTTTAAAAGGGAAACACATTTCCTGCTGAACTGATGAAAAACCTCTAAATGATGTCACAGACTCTGCATCAAACTGATAACACCAAAACACTGCAGATTTTCACCATATATATTTAATGCTCCATGATTTTTTTTCCCACACTGTTTACATTTGATCACCGCTGCACTTTATGGAATGGAAATTTCATTAAAGCTGTACAAAATGAAATTTAGCAATAAAAGTTGTCTAAGTGATCCTTCACAGTAGATCAGACAGCTGCAGCTGATCCAGACGCTGCTGCCTGCATCCTCACTAGAACTGACCAGAGTCTTTGAAAAAGAAGCTGATTAGTCAGTCACTACATCTGGATGGGATTAAACTGATTTCAGATAATAAAGTAAAAATCTTGGTGTTATTTTTGATCAGGACCTGTCATTTAAATCCCAGATCAAAGAGGTTTCTAGAATTTCCTTCTTTCATCTGAGGAACATTGCAAAAATGAGAAATCTCCTGTCCAGGGGTGATGCTGAGAAACTAGTCCATGCATTTGTTACTTCAAGGTGAATCCAAAATGCTGCAGCCAGAGTTCTGATGAAAATGAAAAAGAGAGATCATATCTCTCCTATCCTGGCTTCTCTTCATTGGCTTCCTGTTAAATCCAGAATAGAATTTAAATATAATTTAAAACTGTACTTTATGCATTTTTAAAAATGAAACAGTCTAGTGAGCTGTAATAAACAAAATGTCCTTTTTTTGTATATATACAAAATGCCAAAGTAAAATCTAAGTCTAATGCCTAAGTCTATTACAAAGGGGAAGGTAAATCACTTATTAAGAGTAAAGAATTGGAAAAATGGAAAAAGAGGTGGAACAACGATAAGAAAGGACGAGGATTATATAAGGTCCAAAAATCAGCATTAAATAAAATTATTAATGAAAGAAACAGAATTGAAGACGTAATAATGAGCAGATTAACACTGGGTCAGACCTATTTAAATGAAAATGTATATTCAATAGGGAGGAAAAATAATGATAAATGTGAAGGATGTAAAGAAAAAGAAAATGTGGAACATGTACTGATGAACTGTAAAACTTATGAAGATGAAAGGGAGAAATTGAGAAGAATGGTTGGAAGGAAAGGCAAAGAATGGAGTCTAAAAGGAATATTGGGAAATTAAGGAAATATAGAGGATATTCACAGATTAAGGAAAGCATTATTCATTTATCTACAATATACAAAATTAAAAAATAGAATTTGATGTAAAGTAATGTTGCTACAGACTCATATACAGCAGGTGGCAGTATGCACCTTAAAGCTGCCTGCGATCTGCCACAATAGAAAAGAAGAAAGTGTATTACGAGTGATCCCAATTAGAACCACTAGGGGGCGCGCATCAAACTCTGTTAGCTCCGCTGAAACTTCAGAGAAGAAAAAACAAGAAGATGCAGGAAGTTAAGAGTCGCTTCGAGCAGCGCTGATCAAAGCGGACCTGATCGGAACCAGTTCAATGACCACCTAACAGAAGTTTAAACGGGTTGATAGAATAGAAATATCAACCATGTTGACCGGGCTTCTCTGCCTTCTGTTTGTGGGCCTTCAGAGCGGTTCTGGTGAGTCTATTTCTATGCTATCGCTTCTACGCTAACCTCGGTCTGACTTAAGATTATTTAGCACTATTTTTAACCCTCTGTAATACTTTATTTGGATAAATAAAAGAAACGGAATTGATAATAACTGCCTTTTTTCACTGTATAATAAATAAAACATCAGCCTGGTTCCGCGCATAGGTGTTTATATCCTGATAAATTTTAATTTAGTCTTTTTTTAAAAGGGTTCGTCGTGGAAAGGAAACAGAAAGTGTTTTTGTTTGAAGCTCCGCATTGGGCGGCCATTAAACAATCCCAATGATGTATCCTGATGCTAAAAAACATCCAAATATTTTAAACCAATCAAAGCTTTAATAGAAGCATTTCTATTCCAGGGAGGTTGACCTCAGAGGACCTCTGATCTTCCTCATCCAGCCTGATAAACATCATCTCCTCTAACATCTGTCCTGTTTGCTCTCCAAAAACAAACATTATCCCCTAATAAAAACAATTAGAGGTTAAATTAAATATTTTCCTTTGAGTTAATGTTTGATAAGATTAGATTATAAGATTATGACAGATATTAAATATTTGCCCCTTTTTAAATGAGTTTCTCCATTTTCTGAGGGCATGGTGACAGTTTCTTGTTCTTGGTGTGACCACAGTGATCTTGTGGCGTAGATTTCAAAGAGACCCACGTGGCTTCATCTCTAATGTCTGCATCAACCTCTAACCCACACGTTTTATACTCTCACTGTCTGCAGCAGTAGCTGGGGCAGAGATGCTCTGGAGGTTTGGTAACATCTTTGCTGGCTGTAAATTCACAGAGGGTCAATATTCCCTCAGCTTTATTCTAAAATAAGAAAATAGAATCTAATATAAAAATGTTTGGAGACATTAAATTATAAATAGTAGAGCTGCAACTTTTTATTATTCTATGCATAGGAAGAGGTTTTATTTCTATATAATGTTTAGAATTTGGAGATAAAAAAACAACAACTTAATTGTGCATTTTGAAGTTTAAACTGTAAAAATCTGCATGCATATATATATATATATATATATATATATATATATATATATGCATGATTTTAAATGAAAAATATACAT